CCGTCGTTCCCAGGAAACCCGCTGTCTCGAGAGCACGTGTGTGCTCTGCTGCCTGGGAGCCGGGCGTGAGAGGAGAGCTGCCCGGGCAGGTCACCTGCTGCTGGAGCAGGGCTGGGGTCCCACTGACTCACAGGTGCGAGCACTGTCGTCGGGTGTGGGGGAGGCCGGCGTCTGCCTCACCAGCCCCGGCCCCTAAGCTGAGGTGCGCGCTGCACCCCACGGGCTCACCGCGTGCAAATGCGCCCCGCTCACCGAGACTCAGCCCCTGGGTCCTTCCGCACGCCTCAGCCCGGGACGCGCCTGCCCTTTCTAGACGGCCGGCATAACTAGGTGTGATCCCTTCCACCCACAGAAAGGAAGGCATGTGGCTCACGGAGACTAGGGGCTTTCACCAGCTATCCAGCCTCACGCCCAGGCTCACTCGGTGGCTTTACATATGTATATATATACATACACATATGTGTGTATATCTATGTATGTGTGTATGTATGTGTGTGTGTGTGTGTGTGTATGTGCATGTGTGTGTGTATGTGTGTAAATATCTAAGAAACCGCAGTGCTGCTGCACCTTCTGTTCTGCGTGTTCCTTGTGATGCATCCCGGCTGTGTTTCCATCTTTGCATGTTCAGAGTCTCCCTGTCTCCTCACCCCCACTCTTCTTCCTCCCCCACCCCACCCCTGCTCTCTCCTCTGTCCTCCTCCAGTCTGGGGACACAGTGGCTCATCAGCCCCTGCCCTTGGGCGGACTCGTGCGTCCTGTGCCTGTTTGCCCTGACGCACACAGTGCTGGTCAGAACATCTTGTACAGACACATACATCTATCTGAGAGGTGCGTTTGCAAGTCCGTCTGTTGTGTGATTTCATATTACTGGAATTGCCAGGTCGAAAGGTGCATGCCTTTTAACCACTCCGGTACGAGCGCGGACTGCAGTGGATAGCCACAGATGAACGCGCACAGCCCAGCGTTGACTGTGAGTGCCGGCTGTGGGCAAGGTTTCCAGGCTGGTGAGCGCCGGGCCGAAGTGGTTAAATTTGTGACAAATATTTCTAAATTGTCCCCTAAAGAATCTCTGTGGAGACCCACAGTCAGGCTGGCAGACCCCACTCCCATACGCACCTGCCGCTCGTCAGAAGTTAACTTATAACGCCACTCCTTGTTTAAGTTGGCATTTCTTTAATTTTAAATGGAAGTGAACATTTTTTCCACAGGTTTGTTGGCCTTTTTTTGGTTTCGTGTCCTTGTCTTTCTCACCGGGCTGTGTGGACGGACTCTTGCCAATCAGGGGTACCAGTGCTTGGCGGTGACATCATTCCAGGATTTTTCTTTGCTTTTTAAAAATTTCTCTTTGCCGTCACACAAGTTGTGCTTGTTTTTTATTTTTCTTATTGTGGTAGAATGTACACAGCATGAAGTTTAGCGCTGTTTTCCATTTGTAAGTGTACGATTCGGCGGCAGTAAGTATACTCACCACGTCGCGTGACTGTCACCACTCTCTATTCACAATACTTCCCATCGCCCTGAGCAGAAACAACCGAGCAATAACTTCCCGTCCCCTCCCCTCAGGCCAGCCGCCTCTCAGCCGCTACCCAGACTTTTCTGCTCCCTGCAAGTCGTGTAAGTGGGATCAAAGCTGCGCCTGTCCTTCTGCGTCTGGCCCGTGCCACGTGACATAATGGACGCCTTCAGGGCCAATCCGAGTTGTCCATGGTGCCGGGACTTCCTTCCTCTCCGTGGCCGTGGCCGGATGATGCTCCATTGCGTGGTGGCCGCGTGTCCTTTGCCCGTCCCTGTGGTGACAGACCCTTGAGTTGCTGTCACTCTCGTCTACTGTGAATAACGTGCTATGTGAGGTGGGCACGTGAAGGTCTGAGTGAGGCCCTGTTCTCAGTTCCTTCTGTACCTGGTAGTGGAATTGCTGGCTCCTGGGGGGGGGTCTCACCTTGGGAGGACCAGCCACACCTGTCCGGTGGTGTCCACACCAGCAGGCTCAGGCTCACGGTCCTCACGCCTTGTGGACACTTGTGTGCTGCTTCTGCCCGTTGCCGTTTGCGCAGTCGTAACCATGGGTGTGAAGCTGCACTGAGGGCTCATTTGCACCCTGACGCCTAGTGGCGTTGGGGACCCTCCCAGGCGCCTCTTGGGAGACACGTCTGTTCACGTCCTCTCCCATTTGTTAATGGGGTCGTGCGTTTCATGTTGTTGTTGAGCTGTAGGGGTTTCGTATGCAGTCTGGGTAGTAAATCCCTTATCCGACGTGTGATTTGCAAATATTTCCTCCCACTGTGCGGGCAGCACTTTTGCTCTGTTGGCAGAGAGACCTTTGATGTGCAGAAGTTTTTCGTTTTGATTAAGTCCAATTTAGCGTTTTTTCTTTTATTGACTGTTTTTTTTTTTTTTTTGGTGTCAAACTTAAGAAATCATTGCAAAATCCAGCGTCATGCAGATTTCTCCTTATGTTTTCTTCAAAGAGTTTTATAATTTTAGCTTGTAAGTTTAGCTATTTTATGCATTTTGAGTTAATTTTTGTATACTAGCATTCTCAGGGATGATTTTTGTCACTGGTAAAAAAAAATCAGGTGAGCGAGCCGTACTTCTCCTTTTTCGTGTGCGTTTTGGAAGTGTTTGCTGAGAACCAGACGCTGTGAGTATCGCGGTGACAACGTGGCAGCTCTGGAAACCAGGGTCCCTGTGGCACAGGGACTGAGGCTGACTAGGGCGTGTCCAGGGCTGGAGTCACCCGATTGCGACCCTCCCAGGTCACTTCCGTGCAGCGCGCATTCCTTATCGTGTGTGGTCGCTGCATTTTCTGCTCCACCGTCCACAGCCAGGGAGGGACGGCAGCGTCCCCCCAGCCCAGCACCGTCCGAGCAGGACTCGGGGTCCGGACGCGGTTGGCTCCAGTCCCCTCCCAGCCCAGCGGCAGTGCTGGTGGGGAAACTGATCCCGAGAGATGCCTTCTCCTCCAACCCCTCTGCTCTATTTTGAAAGTCAGTTGAATTTATATATTTTTTCTTTTATGGCTTTTGGATTTTTTGTATCTCAATTAGGAAGGATTTTTCTATGTTGAAATTATTCAGAGAAAATAAACAAAGACACTCTAAAAATAAGCAATATTATGCACAGTCATTTTCAATGATATCTTTGTAACTGTATGATCTCATTATTTTTTGATTTAAAGAAATGTCGATGTTCCCCCTGGGGCCTCCCTGGAGTGTCCTGTGACGGCGCGGGGAGGAGACTCCCTCTTCCATGCCGTGTCACCTCCCGCTTCATCTGCCTGCGAGACAAGTGGGTGACCAAAAACTACATCCCAGTCACTCTTCTTAGAGACTGAGCCGGAATGTCACCTGCTCTGGACACACCAGGCAGGAGGTGCAGACTTCAGCCGACACGCAGTGCAGACAGGCAGCCGGGCACCCGGTCTGGAGGAGGCTAGGAGCCCCTGGAGACTGCAGGGCCCCGGGGAGAGGGGCCGGCGCAGTGGCAGCCTGAGTGTCACACGGAGGCAGAGGTGGGGGCAGTGCAACAGGCTCAGCTCATGCCCATGGGACGGGCGGGAAACACCAGGAGGTGGGGGGCAGGCAGGAGCGAAGCTCAGGGGGCCAGAGAACACAACGTGTGTCTTTCGGGGACCTGCACAGTGGGGTCTGTTGGGGCTGGGGCACAGCTGCCGCTGAGCAGCCCACGGCGTGCAGGACAGCCCAGGGCAGCCAGGAGCGACCCGGCCCCATGTTGGTGGAGCTGAGACCAAGAACCCCAGGGGAGGATCTGGGGATCTGGTCACTCTGGGCTGAGACCTGCCCGCCACTCCCCACCCCTGCACCGCCCAGCGGGAAACCCCGCCACCTGCCCAGTGTCATTTTGGAAGGAGGGGGCTGCCCGTGATGTCTTCTTGCTGGGGGAGGGGAGGGGGGCTGCTGGACCCAGAGGAGGCAGGCCGCGTGCCCACAGCAGGGCCCTGCATAGGCGGCCTGGGGGGCGGGGGTCAGCTGTGCAGGGCGTGGCCGGGCGGCCCTGGTGGAGCTTCGGTGTGGCTGGGCCCAGCGGGCTCTGAGAACCCGAGCCCCGTCTTTCCGGGCCCACGCTGCACTCCGAAAGCAAACCTGTGCGTTGGTTGGAGCCGAGAGCCGGCGCAGAGGCCTTGCTGGGGTTCCAGACCCCATGCGCAGGTGGGTGGCCAGGTTTCCTAAGATGAGGAGGCCTGGGGGGCGCAGTGCTGCTGGAGTGGCCGTCTGTTCCCAGAAACCGTGCATATGTGCGTTAGGGGCTGTGTGTTGCTTCCCTGGCAGAGCCCCCGGTGGGGGCGGGGGTGGTGAGCCGCCTTGGGGACGGCAGGGCTGGGATGTGGAGACCCCCTGAGAGAAGCCCCAGGAGCACGCGGTTCTGAGGAGCAGCCGGGCAGGAGGCCGAGTGGTGTGCAGGGCATTTGGGAGTCACCGCCTGTCAGGGCAGGAATGACAAAGCGTGAGAGCCACCCCCGAGCTCACTGTCCCCTTCTCTCCCAGAGACCGACACCAAAGCACCTTCTTGCCTGTTGGTTCCGAGGGCTCATCAAAAGCTCACAGCACCGACCTCTTCAGGGTGGAGCAGGGCCGTGCGGTCAGACCCACCCTGCGTTAGGGGCAGCCCTGGGCGTGGGCAGCGGCTGCACGGGGCTCGAGGTTCCAAGCCAGGACGTGACAGAGCCATGCAACTCCCAGGCCCTCATCCCAAACAGACAAGGAGTTTGTAAGCAGGTGCCCACCTTAAATTCCCCAGCCCCAGCCCCTCTGCAAGGCCAGCCACCTCCAAATAGACAGTGGCTCTAGGTGACTTCTCTGCAGAGCGGCAACATCAGATTTATTTTCTGCCGAAATGTGAAACTAGTTATAGGATTTCATACCGACCTTTAGGAGAAGTCTGTTTTCTATATTTCCGGTTGAGTCCTCTTCCAGGTGAGCGCTGCCCGGTGGTTCTGCCCAGGCTCTGACACCAGCCCTGTCCCCTTGATTTTCTTTCAGCCCATGACAGCGATGGATCTGGTTCGGAAGACGGCAGGGACGACCAGGACGTGAAAACCAAGCGGAACCGGTAGGTGCCACCGTGCTTCCTCAGCGGGTCTTTCCGTAGTGGGCACTCAGGTGGCGAGGGAAGAGAAGCCATCGATCGTTCCGACCATATTGACTCGGAGCAGAGGACGGACTCACCTGCTAAACAGGCGGCCGGGGGTCTCCGTTCTGCCTTAGCAGCGGCCCGGGGAACCTGCCGGAGCAGGTGTCTCGGGGGTCCAGGGGAGCTCAGACGCCGTACAGAGAGCGTGCCCCAGCAACCCCAGCCCACCCAGGCGCCCTCGAGCTCGGCCCTGACGGCGTCTCCTGAGCCGCGTTGTAGCAGCCGGGCGGCCGGGGCGCAGGTGGTGCCGTGTGCCGGGTGAGAGGGTGGGTGTCTGGCTCGGGGCTCCAGCCCTGAATCTCGCTTGGGTAGTGGCTTTGTGCAAAGTGATCCGACCCTGAGGTCAGATTTCTCAAGTGTAAGATGAGAGGTTGTGGAAGCCCTGATGGCTCCTGGTTGTGACCACGCCTGTGTTGGTGCCTTGGGGACCTGGCCGTCCAGGCCGGCTTGTCCGTGGCTGCGTGCGTGAGGAGGGTGGAGGGAGGGGATCCATCTTTCCCTTCGAGCCAGGGGTGGCTCCACCCCTCTGCCACTCCGAGAGGCTGTTGCTCTGCCCTTCCTTACGTACTGAGTTTCACATAAAAAGACATGATTGAGGGAGTAAGAATAGGGAAGCAGAAGGAGGGACAGGTGTGCTGCACCCACCTGTGCAGAGAAATGGGGTGAGTGTGAAGGCAGCCAGGCCAGCGAGGGGTGGCACAGGTTCCTGGGCTGGGCCGTTACCGGCCAGGTGCTGCCTGGGTGGACGTGCTGTCCCGACAGAACCTGGCCGGCGTGGCCCAGCAGGTGCACTCGTTCCTGCACCAGGTAAGTCCCTCCGTGGGACACGCTGAGCCCACGGCAGGAGCCAGAGGGAGTGGTGAGAGTGTTAGCATCACTTGTATTTCCCCTTTACAAAGTACGGCTTTGGAGAAGTGACACTTCTGCCGTAACAGACCTTTGCCACAATGAAGGAAAAATGGAATCTGGACTCAGAATCTGTGCCCGTTGTCACCTGTCAGTCTGTCACCTTGTGACTTTTCAGCAAAGGAGGAGGAGGGGGCGGTGGGGGCTGGGGGCGCAGGTGCCAGGCCGGTGGGCGCCCGACCGCCAAGGCCTGGGCAGGCTCTGTGCGCCAGCAGGCGAACACGCAGCATCAGACCTGAGTAGGTTCCGTCACAAGCAGACGCCACGGAACCTTCCGGAACAACACAAGGAAGGGAAACACTGTCCTCCCTAATCGGGGAGCCTGTCTGGCGGGAGGCAGGGCTCTCCTCCGCCCGGACCCTGCGCCCCGCCCCATGCACTTGGGGGCCACGTGCAGCGGGGGGGAGACGGGGGCCCGGCGGCTCAGGGTGAGGACGCCCCCCCACCCAACCTCCTTTTCAGACAGTCGCTTTTGGGGCTCAGAGGACACTGAGGGCCGCAGGGGGTGGATGGCACGTGCCGTGGGTGGGGGCCGAGGGCGGGAGGCAGTGAGCGCGGGCCCGGTCCCACCCTGGCGGGGGGACGGCGGCGGAGCCGGGCTGTGCTGGTGTTCTGACTGCTCTTTGATGTGTGCGCTCCTTTGATTTGCCTTGGACGTATGTGCTTAATCTGAGAAACAGGATGAGCTTCCCGAGGCAAGAGGGAGATGGAAATGTAGCCATCATTTGATGAATTTGGAACTCGTGTCGGAGGAAGAGCTCGGGGCGCCCGGCACAGCCTACATCACCCAGCCGGGTCCTCACGCCCGGGCCTGCCTCCGGGCCCGAGCAGTTGGCGTTTAAACAGCGTCAGAACATTAATTTTGGTTTTAATCATCCGGGTGACTCCCGCAATCGGAAGCCGACTTGGAAGCACGCACGGGCGTCTGCACGGAGCGTCCCGGTTTTGGCATGGGCGTGTCCCCTTCTGTTCCTGCCTCACAGGCGCCCTGTGGGGGATGGGCCCCGGTGCCGGCGCGATTACCAGACACCCCCATGTCGGCG